TCTCACTCTTGCTCAGGTTGGTCTAAAACTGCTGGCCTCAAGCGATTCTCCTGTCTCGGCCTCCCAGAGTGCTGGGATTACAGGTGTGAGCCACCCTGCCCAGCCTCCTCTATTTTTTTTCCTTTAAATTTCTGGGCCCCTAAACAGCTGATCAGCGGTAACGGCTTCAGCAGATGGATATACATGTGTGCTTTGGTGGAAAATATTAAAAACAGAACAGTCACATTTATCCAGGTGCCTACTAGGGTCTGGGCACTGATGTAATTTCTAGATCTCACCATAATTTTGGGTGGCAGGAAATGGTACCCACTTCACAGATGGGAACAGTGAGGCAGTGACTGGCCCGGGGCTGCCTTGCTGGGGAGGGGCAGTGTCAGGATTAGACTCCAGGCCTCTTGGGTCACCCTGCCTTTCTCACAGGGACTGGGTTTGGAGTGGTGAATTAGGCATGTTTGATAAAAGACATTGCTCTCTCTTCTCAATGGGGCAGAGCTGAAGGTCACAGCACGGTGACAGTGGGACCGAAGGCGTCAACGTGACACTTGTCACTAGCAGGGAGGCAGGAACACCACCACGTGGGCCTGGAGGACAGAGCTTTGAGCCAAAGAGGATTATCCTCAAGCTTTAAAATCGAGTGGAATTTGCCCTAAAAAAAGAAAGAAAGAAAATCGAAGGGCATGTTCCCTGCCCGGTTGCAGACTGCTTGGGACCTACGGTCTCTTTCTTCCTTCTAATCTCTCCCCGTCGGAATGAGAACGTGTAGCCCCCGCCCGAACCACGTCGTGATTTCTGGGACGTGGGTAACGTGCCGTCTGGGTTTACAGGCTCGCGGCTGGGGAGGAATTTCCCTCCAGGATGAATCGCACCTGGGTCTCCCCTGAACCTGGTTCGGACGATACTTAGACGAGATTTTGGACTCAAACTTGATGCTGGAGTGGGCTGGATCTCCCGAGGACACCGGGTGGCGTGAACGCGAGTGCATTTTGCAGGTGGAAGGATGTGCATTTTGGAGGGACCAGAGGGCACAGTGCTCTGGGTTGAATTATGTCCTCTCAAAATTCATGTCACAGCCCCAGCCCCCAGGACCTCAGAATGTGGCCTTATTTGGAAACAGGGTCACTGCGGGGGGAATTAGTTACGATGAAGTCACACCGGGCTACAGTGGGTCCGTAAGCCAATTGTGACTTATAAAAAGGGGAAATTTGGGGCCGGGCGT